TTTATCTGTAGCAGGATCTTTAAGCATTCGACTCTAGTGCATTCCAGTTCAAAATTCACTTAACCCCAGATGGATCCTATGGATAAGAACCCTTAATGCTACTCCCTCCCATGTCCGTATGTTCCTCTTGACTATTTTTCAGGGGTCAAAAATCATGAATTATGTAATTCTCATATTAGTTTCTTTCCACTAAACTTTCTCTAACACACATGAATCCGGAAGATGATGCCTGATAGGATTATTCCTCATTATTAGATTGTTTTTATGATATTTGATTGCTGATGCCTTTTATGCATCTGCCTGCCTTTCTCCATTGAATCACTAGGCCTGTTTCTGATAGCTGGTGAACATACAGCTGCTTATTTTTCTGAACCTGGCTCCTGCCTAACAATTCCTATTTTACTCCCTTGTGCAGTCCCTCTGTTATCCAAGCTTCATTTCCATTCCATTCCCTGCATTTTGGATTCTGGACCACAAATGTTTGTAGAACCGGGTAAGTCCACGTGATGTTCTATCACAAACACATGCTGACCTACATAAATGCAGTCCTTCTGCTTCCAGATAATCATTCTGTTCTTTTCTGTTACATGTCCTGATGAATTCACCATTTTGTTTCTGCTTTATCAAGAACTGTCAGGCCATGCCCTAAATCAGGAGCATGGCAGGCATATCAGAAAATAATGTAATCTTGTGGAACAAGCAGTTTTGGGTCTCCTACACACTAGCTATGTAATCTCAGGCAAGTTATTTAACCTCTCTGGGTTTTTGTTTTCTCATCTGTGAATAATTAGGTACAATACAGCTTTCTTGTTATAACCTCATAACATATACTGGATGTTTAACAACTTTTTTGTCACCAAATTTTTTGTCCTGTGGGAAAGGAAAAACATTTCTTCCTCTGCCTTTATGAGTCTTTAGCTGCAATTCCTGTAAAACAGATTAATGAGATAATATAAACAGAAGTTTATCAAAATGTATACCTCATGTATACATGGGAGATACTCAGGGGAAAATGAGTAACTCCCCAAATTGGCTTAAAATTAAGGATTAAATATTATCTTCATAGGGAAAGGGGTGGAGATGTAGCCTCTTAGGGGAGAGTTAATGTCAAAAAAACAAGGATTTTGTAAGAAGTCTCTCACACATATCCAATCAGGCCAACACCTGAATAATAGGGATGCCAGAAAGAGAAGAGGAAGAGCAAGAAGGTGAAAACTTACTAGTAACTTATAATGAAAGAAAATTTCCTTAGTTTGGTGAAGGAAATAGACATAGAAGTCCAGGAAACACATGGAGTCCCAAAACAAGTTGGACCCACAGAAAACCAAACCAAGACACATCATAATTTAAATCCAAAAGATAAAGATAGACACTAAAAAGCAGCAGGAGAAAAGGAAAGTGTTAGCTACAGAGGAATACTCATAAGACCATAAGCTGATTTCTTAAAACAAACGTTGCAGGCAAGAAAAAACTGGCAAGAAGTATTCAAAGCGATGAAACACACGGACCTACAACCTGTATTAATGTATGCAGCAAAGCTGTCACTTAGAATACAAGGTCTGATAAATTGCTTCCCAGACAGAGCAAAGCTTAAGGAGTTCGTCATCAGTAAGCCCCAATTATGTGTAGTGTTAAAGTGACACTTTAAGATAAAGAATTTACCTTAAGATAGAGATCAAAAGTACAAATTTAAAAAGGCAACAAATCCAGAACCATCAACTACTGAAGCTAAAACAAACAAAAACTAAGCAAATAATCAAAATCATAGTTATGGAGATAATTTGGAGGGTTAGCACATGGGAGGGAGAAAGAGAAAATGGCGGAAAAAAGATACAGGGATTCAAAAGCCTAATTGGTAGGTACAAATTGACAGAAAGAGGTTAACAATAGTGTACAAAATAGAGAAGCCAAAGAAGATATATGCATGACCCATGGACATGAACTAAGGTGGAGGGACTGCTGGTTGGAAGGGCTGCTGGAAGCCGTGGGCTACAGGGGGAATCACTGGAACAACTGTAATAAAATAATCACATAATACAAACTATATAAAAATAATACAAACTTTCTGCAATATTTAGTGAGACGCCAGGACACACTAGAAAAACAGGTCAAGAAAAGGCTATCAAATACAAGTAGCAATACAAACGAGAATGTAAAGAAACTGAAAGCTAAGGTCTGCAATTACCTTAGAGTTCAATAGGAGATTGAACTATGCCTGGAAATGACCTGACACCTGACCTCTGCTTAGGGGACCATAACTCTGTTGTTATTTTTCTCTTTAAGGTGATCTACATAATTATTTGTGTCAACACTGCATCCTAAAAAGTGTACTTGTGTCTCTCCATTAACTAGTATAATCGGTGAGACTTATGACTAGTGATAGGTTCCTATGAAAAAGCAATGGCGTCAAAATAATGTTCAAATCCCAGATGCTTCTAAGGGCTGCTGAAGGCTGCTCCATGTTGAAAATGGATAATCAGAAAGGCTTAGAAGGGCTTCAGAGATTCACACTAATCCAAAGGATTCTAATGACAGCAGTGAAGAGCAAAGAACAAGGGGAAAGACGCCAGTTTTCTGACAGCGTGTACACACGTCTCCTGGGGCCTTTAAATAGAATGTCTTGTTTAGGAGCACATCAGAAGCTGAGATTGCAAACATCACCAAGGATGCTGCAGACTCATCCTGTTCTCTGAAAAAGCAACCAGCCATAACAATGCTAAATTGGCTGCAGAGACGTAGACCCAACCCGATTTGGCAGATTGGCCTGTCTTGAGCAATCAGGACTAAGAATCTCAGTTTGTTCAGAAGGAATCCTTCACACTGAAACACCTCTGGTGCAGACATGGGGAAGCTGGAAGGGGGAGAGGGTTGCTGAACACGATCAGGGCTGCAGAGAAAACATGGTGAGCCCCATTTCCTCATTCAGCCAGTACTCGACAGAGGAGGTGGGGTGTCTAACCTTTTGGCATCTCAGGGCACCCTGGGAGAAGACTACTTGTTTTGGGTCACATATTAAACTCATTACAACAGGCAATCACAAAAAAATCTCATAATGATTTCAGTAAATTTGCGATTCTGTGTTGGGTCCCATTCGTAGCCATCCGGGGCTGCATGAGGCTCGCAGGCCCCCATCGGGACACCTGAGGAGTGGAGGAACGAGAGTAGTTTCCTGTGTGAAGAGGTGAACACCCCAATAGCGAGATAACAATACTGTAGGTTTCCAGCATCACTTGTGAATACATCCCAGGTATCATGTATCCCAGGTACCAGCTGTTCTCAGTACTGCAGGGAGGATGCCAGCAACATTTACAAAATACACTTGAAGGGTCTAATGGAGTGGATAATTACCACAGCGGGTAATACCATAGCCCATCATGCAAGGATAAGTGAATGTCCAGAAAGACTCAGCCGTGAATCACTGGCATGTCATTAGTGCTGAACTGTGGGCTAAGCTTTAAGAGGAGGTAGACAAAATGCGGCTACGGAGGAAAGTCGTTTCCCCCGACAGACGGCCGGAAATGACAGATAGGGTTCCCATGAAGACTATGAGGCAGATGTCGAACATTTAAAAGACAACAAATAAATGAGGAAAACTCAAGATAATTAAAACAATGAAAACTCATGAAGCTGAGAAGCTAGCTGAGTTTCTCATGTCCGTGGCCTTTGCTGTCCTCCTGCCTTGTGCTGAGGGTCTAATGTGCTATGGTAGAGAGTGTCCCCAGCTCTGGAGCCAGACTCACGTGTTCAGATCCGGACACTTGTCTCTCCTGTGTCCTTGGAAAAACCACTTCCTCCTCTTGATCCTATTTTCCCCAGAAATACAGTAACAGTCACTAATTCCCAGTGTGCTGTCAGGATTGAAGAAATAAAGAGTGTCAAAAAGCAAGCCCTGGAAAATTTCCACTCTGGGATGAAGGCTGCTCTTTCTTAAAAATATTGTATTCTCTGGTTCTTGGGAAGGGTAAGCAAGGGAGAAAGAGAGGGAGAGAAATTCGAAGTGCAAAAACATTCGCTCTTTGCCTCTCTCACTCCCTGACTTGGGAACTGGACCAAAACACAGGCACGTGCCCTGACCAGGAATTGGACACATGACCTTTTGGTTTGCTGGACAGCAGTCAACCCACCGCTGAACCCACGGGCAAGGCTGCCTTTTATCTGTTATTTACACAGGAAAATACTGAGGCCTACAGGGTGAATCGCTTTCCTGTAACCATAACTATGGTCAATAATCTTAAGATTTAAATCTGGGTTGCATGGCCAAGATATGGGAAGTTTAACCACTCTTCTCTTGTCTTTGGCCTCTGGGAGAGCTAGCAAACTCAACACATAGCCATTCATCACTTATCACCTGGAGCACCTTCAAGTCCCACTTGTAGCCCAGAAAACCCTGGATGAAAGACCACAGTAAGGGTGAAAACTTAAAAGCAAAAGTTATTGTATTACTTAAGGTTTAAATTTACAAAGCAATTGTGTTAATAAGGCAGACTGTTCTTAAAGTATATGATATGTACCTGATACATTGTGTAAGAAAATAAAATCCAATTCATTTCAATATGTGTTACACTATTAAAAACAATTATTCCATGAACCAAGAATTGTCACTGAAGGAGTGAAAATGGGTGACACTACAACATCCATCTTGCTTGTATCACTCTCCTATTTTTTAAAGGAGTAGCACAAAATTATAATAGAATAGGATGTGAGCACATAATATACTAAAAACTTACCCGCATTACATACATTCCTGAAAAATGTGCATCAAAAAGCCTAAAAGAAATGCAACTATAACAACATAAAGAGCATAAGAAATAAATGAAAAGAGAGTATTATAAAAATTAAACATATCATTTTGCTAGAGTGGGGAAATGTAAAATCATTTCTGATATTCACATCATTCCAACTGCATTTCAGCAGAATAAAGTCTGTCTAAGTAGGGGAAATCACTGATAGAAGAAAAACATTTCATAAATTCACTCAAGGTGTAAGACCATACTCCAGAGTGAACTCTCTGATGACAACAGAGTGGACTCCTGCAGAAAAAGGATTTCCCACTTTCACTGTACCCCTGAGGCATTTTTCCACAGTGAAGTCTCCAAGGATAACAAAGGTTACTCATAAAACATCATTTCCACATTCCCTGCTGCCATAAAACTCTGCTCCTGGGTGTAGCCTCTGTAACATCATAGTTAATGCAAAAGGTAAAAGGTTTCCCATATTCACCATACTCATAAGCGTTTCTTTGCTGTGAACTCTGTCATGGTATTGGAGGTAACTTGTATACACAAAGGATGTCCCCATTTAGTGCACTCACAGGTACTTTATCTAGTGTGAACACTTTGATGAAAGTGGAAGGAAGAGCTACAGGTTCAAGATTTCCCATGTTCACTGCATTCATAAGGGCTTTCTCCAGTGTGCACTTTCTTCTGATGACAGAGACCAGAGAAACTAGTGTAAGATTTTCCGCATTCACCACAATTAGTCCTTACTCCGTGTGAACTCTCTTATGTTTTTGGAGGTTAGAGCTACTCCTGAAATATTTGCCACATTCAGTGCACCCATAAGGCCTTTCTCCAGTGTGAACTCTCTGGTGTATACGGAGCTCAGAACTACTAGTAAAAGATTTTCCACATTCACTACACTTATGAGGCCTTTTTCCATTGTGAACTCTCTGATGAATATAGACTGCTGCATTCGACTTGAAAGATTTTCCACATTCATTGCACTTATAAGGCCTTTCTGCAGTGTGAACTGTCTGATGAATACGGAGATCAGAATTCCTGTTGAAAGATTTTCCACATTCACTGCACTTATGAGGCCTTTCCCCAGTGTGTACACTGTGATGTCTTTGGAGGGTAGAGCTAGCGGTAAAAGATTTTCCACATTCATTGCACTTATGAGGTCTTTCTCCAGTGTGAACTCTCTGATGAACATGGAGGGCAGAGCTCCTGTTGAATGATTTTCCACATTTACCGCACTTATAAGGCCTTTCTCCAGTGTGAACTCTCTGGTGTCTATGAAGCTCATACCTACTGTTGAATGATTTTCCGCATTCACCACACTGATACGGCCTTTCTCCAGTGTGAACTCTCTGATGAACACGGAGGGTAGAGCTACTCCTGTAAGATTTCTCACAGTCACCACACTTATAAGGCCTTTCTCCAGTGTGAACTCTCTGGTGTATACGGAGTTCAGAGCTATTGGTATAAGATTTTCCACATTCACTGCACTTATGAGGCCTTTCTCCAGTGTGAACTCTTTGATGAAGATAGAGAGCTGCTCTCGACTTGAAAGATTTTCCACATTCATTGCACTTATAAGGCCGTTCGCCAGTGTGAACTCTCTGATGAATACGGAGGACAAAGCTCCTGTAGAAAGATTTTTCACATTCACTGCACTTATAAGGCCTTTCCCCAGTGTGAACACGCTGATGTTTATGAAGGTAAGAGATCGTGGTAAAAGATTTTCCACACTCACACTTGTATGGCCTTTCTCCAGTATGAACTCTCTGATGAATGCAGAGGGTAGAAATTCTGGTAAAAGACTTCCCACATTCAAAACACAAAAAACACTGTCTTCCAACAAGGAATCTCTGGTCCTCAACAAGTGTGTCATCACAGCCAATGGTGTTCTTGTAGTCTCTTGAGGTGTAATATTGTGCAGATGGAAAAGTCATTCCTGACTTGGAGATTTCATTTTCCCTATGTGTGGCGTTAGCACCCTGCTGCTCACGATGCCCAGAGCTGATGACGAAGCATTTTCCAACCTGACTAGAAGTATAAGCATTCCACGTCAGATGATCAGCGTAGCTCTCTGCAAGTGAGACCCTGTCCGCACTGCTTATGAAACTATTCTGCGTTGTGTCCTGGTGCTGGTGACTCTGTGCACCAAAGTAAAATGGTTTTGCACATGCCCCACACCGCAGCAGTGTTGGGCCCTGTTGGTTTCCCTGCTGGTCAGCCAAGAGGAAAATGTCTCTCAAGACACGCCCACAACTCTCACAGGGGTGGCTCTTCTGGGAAGACAGTGCTGACTTCCGATTCATAGCTTTCGAGACTCTTACAGTGACATTCTGTTCACTGGGTGCCTCCACATCCTGTGTTCCACAGCAGCAACCTGAACAAAAACAAACACTACTGAAGTACATACTAACCTAGAGGAAGCAGTTTTTCTCATTATCAATTTCCATGAGAAATGAGAGACTCAAAGGAAACCCTTCAGGGCTGTAATGATAAGCAATCCATTAATTGAAAGATATCAGCACACAGTGGGACACAAGGAAGAGAGGCTGGCTTCACGAGTAATTCCTCCCATAGGGGCTGCCTGCAAAACACTTCCAGCTGGTGATGTCAGTTTGTGTAGAGGATATCAATGTGCCCCAAACCATGAAAATCAACCACAGCAGAACAGAGGCTGGACTAAGCTTGCATAGCAATATGTACACACTTCAATGTCCAGCAGGCATGGGTCAAAATGGGAGAGCACATCAAGAAGACACCTTGAGAAAGGGTTGTGGTGTAGACGTTATGGAAGCAGAGATTACCCATGGCTGGAAGTGAAGAGTGCAAAGGAAAATTATTATAAGTAATAAACTGGCAATTGCCAGCACTGGGAAATGACAAGTGCATTCAAGTGTGGTCACTGGTGACAAACACACAGTTCAAGAGAACAGGTTCCTCATTCTGTTTTAACCAAGACTTGGAATCAAATTCTCCCCCACTGCTATTCAGCAATGGCAGACCCTCTGTGAGCCCATCCTGTCATGGCTGGATGCCTGTCCCTCTTGGGATATGCAAGGGACTGTTCCGTTCCCTCCCCTTAGAGAAATCATGTGGAATCCTGAGACTCCGACTACAAAGAGAAAGCATGATATATGAATAACCAACACTGTTGTTGAATACCTCTGCACCAAAACACCAATAAAAAAAGATCCAATGAGTGACCACCCCAGGATGGCACTGTAGAAATGCACGTATTCAACCCCCTTCAAGAATAATTAGACAACTATCCATGAAAAACAGCATCGCTTCAGGAAAGGAAAAGAGGCTTCAGAGACCAGTTCTTTCAAACAGCTACAAGGTGGAGCGAAATACAAAGAGTTACACAAAAGAACAGAAGGAAATCCTGGCTCAGCAAACAGGGTTAGATTCAAAACAAAAGAGTAAGAACTCCTCAGAGACACTTAGCTTGTTACCATTGACACTAGTGGCCTCTGTGCCACCAAAGGCTCCAAGAGATCGCTGTTTGCAAAACTGCAGCCCTGGCCTCTGAGGACCCCTTCAATCTTCACAATGCGGACCTTGGCCCTGGGGCACAAGAAGAATGGGAAGTGAAGTTTCTCATCAGCCCAAAACTCAACAGGCCACCTGGCAAGCACCCTTATATGCATATGCACATCAACTACTCCTCTAAACAGAATTGGTTCCTGAAGTCAAAAAAAGTAACTGCTTCATGAAGTATCAGACATCAACACTAAGACATAGGGAAATATGAAAAAAATCATAAAAGAAACATCACAACATGAAAGTGAATTAAGCTAAATGCAGAGGTACATAAATTGCCAAAAAATAATTCAAACACCCATTTCTAAAAACTTCAGTGAGATACAAGCCAATACACATGGAACTCAACATAATGAACAAACAAACATGGGAACAAAACGTGGTGATCAGACAGGGAGAAATCATAAAAAAGAGGGAAACAGAAATCTGAAGTTGAACAATACAATGAATAAAATAAAAAATGCAAGAGTTTCAAAAGCAGACAAGATCAAGGAATAAAATGAATACATTACCTCGGAGTAAGGTGATTTAAAATCCTCCATGTAAAACAAAAGAAGAGGACACCTTACATGAATTTTGGAACGCACACAGAAAACCTGCATTTGTATTGCAGAAGAGGGGAAAAAGAGAGAAAATGAGAGATAGATAAACGGGAGAGGAAAGCTATGCGTAAAATATTTATTTTAATAAATGAGCTCAAGATTGACTTCAAAATATTTTTTAAAAAATTGTGAACAGCCATGTACAAGATCCTCACAGGTGCCTGAACACAACTGAATGCAAACAGAATTTCAGTACAACATATAATAAAACTGTCAAAATCAAAAGCAAAGAAGTTTGAAATAACAAAGACAAAAGAAACTCCTCATGTGAACGACACCCCCATAAGGCCAACACTGTTTGTCTCTGAATAAACCCTGCAGACTTGGAGAATACCAAATGGTGTTTTCAAGACACTGTAAAAAAAAGTCTCCAACGCACAAAACTTTAACCCAAAAAACTCCTCCTCGGTTTAACAAGCAAAAAAAGTTTCCCAGAAACACAAATGATGAAGTTAATTTCGACTCATACTGACTTACTAGAAATGCCAAAAAAAGATCTTGGAATTCAACACAGGCATACTACACAGAAACAGGAAACCACGGGAAGCTGTAAAGCTCTGTGGTAAGGCAGGCCGGGATGCCATCAGGTTCACAATATTAAGACAGTTCGTCGGTGGACTGTACTATATTTAACTTATTGTATAGGGTAAAAATAAAGTAGTAAGAATAAAAACGGTGACAGTATTTGTGAATAGGTACACGATATAGGAAGATACGAACTGTGACATCAAAACAGGTAAAGGGGTGGTGTGGCAGAGAGTCAAAGGGCAGAACTCTTGCATGCAATGAAGCTGTTTTCAGTTTACAACAAACTGTTAAGAGTATGAGTCCTATTTAAGTCTCAGAAAAAACAAACCACATGTACAGTACTCTGTAATGGATGCACAAAAGAAAAAGGAATAAAACCACATACACATACACACACACACAAAAGCTTCAAGAAAGGAAGACAAAAGGAAGTAGAAAGGGGGCAGAAAACGTGACAAGGTGACAACAGTAGGTTCTTTAGGAATTCTCCAATCAAAGATATATGGGCGAAGGGATAAAAAAACAAGGCACAAAAGCATTTGAGATCTTGGATCCGGGCCATCATCATCAGCTTCGCTCAAATAAACACTGATAAAAATTTTTGTGATGGGTGAAAACGATGAAGGGATTAAAAAGTACAAAAGGCAGCTACAGAATAGTCATGGGGGTGTACAGTACACACTAGGAAACAGAGTCAATAGCATTCTAATAATTATGTATGGTGTCAGATGGGTGTGAGACATATAGAGATGATCACTTAGTAATTTACACAATGTCTCATTAAACTAATACAACAATGTCTGTCAACTGTATTTAAAAGTAAAAAAGGTGAGAGAAATGAATGAATGAATGAATGAATGAATGAATTGGGGTCTGGTTGGGTTTACCTTGTGTTACAAAAAAAAAAGAAAAACAAAAAGAAAAATGACCCCAAGACACAACAGATGCTGCTTCCAAGCGACTCCCTAAATCTTTATGGAAAGAAATATGAAGAAAATAAAGAGACGTAAAGGATATTCCATGCAAATAACACCAAAGGGAGCTGAAAGAGAACAATTTTAATTACTATGCACCCGAGCACAGAGCACCTAAGTGCATAAGCAAACAGTATGAGATCTGAAAGTGGAAAGTCAACATAACACTAGTAGACAACATGAATATTCCCCTTCCAACAATGCATAGATCATCCATTTTGAAAGCAGTAAGGAATTATTGAAGATTGAAAACACTACTGAGAAAACAGAACTAATAAATACATGCTTGGTATTTGATCCAGCCCTGGCCAACTGGCCCACTGAGTGAGAGCATTGTCCTGTGCACCAAAAGGTCATGGGTTTTTTCCTGGTCAGGGCACAACGTAGGTAGTGGGCTTGAAAGCCTCTTACAAGCACGTAGGGAAGGAAACCGACGGACGCTTCTCTCTCACATTGACAGTTCTCTTCGCTCCTCTCTTCTCTAACAACCAATATAAATATTTTGCAGTAAGGATAAAAAATATATACAGTTGTTAAATGTTCAAGTATATAACAAATGCTTTTCCTTACCAATCAATGTGAAATCCATAAGGCTTCTGGCAATACTACTGCGCCAAATCCTGCCCTATGAGGGTTCTATACAGCAGGTATTGGGGCAGCAGGGACAGAAACGGGCAGTGCAAGCAAACCAGCCCTGCCAAGTCCAGGACCTACCCAGAAACGCGGGGAAGCAGAGAGTTCCCACAGTCCACGTGGGAGGACAGAGCAGCCCCTGAGGAATGAAGGGCGGGGGGAAATGCAGGGCCTAGTCCGGGTCACTGGAGAGATGGAGGGGCTTTTTTTTCTTGAGACTATGATTTAGTTTAACTAACATTTGAGGCAGTTAAAACAACGACCCCTACAGATATGATCAGGGGTAAGCCTGAGACCAGCTGCTGGTGTCCATTGCTCCCCGGTGCAATTACTGCCAGAAGCTTAGGATAGAAGAAGCAAATGCAACCCTGAGGAAAGGGGGTACAGGGCAAGCCAAAGAAGGAAGTGCATGGAGAGTCGGTGTCTTACCCAGTGATGATAAAAGAGCATAGTTCTCCAGCATCACATCCAGGTACAGGCGTCTCTCAGCCTCATCCAAGAGGAGCCACTCTGTGCTGGAGAGAGACACGGCGACATCCTCAAAGGTCACAACCACCTGTCAGAAGTAATAAAAATGGATCTGGAACAGTCTGAGGTCCCACACCCTACTCTTTGAAATGCCCAATCTCGTGCAGAGCCATCCCCCGTCCCACTCAAGAGCACACCAGCGCCTGCGGTCAGAGCTGCTTGATTTCTCACCACAGTTTGCATTAACCTCTCACACTGCCCTCAGTACGGGCAGGCAGGATGAGTGGAGGTGGAGAAGAGAAATGCCTTCTGAACTCAGGGTTGTGCCTGCAGGACCCCATTCTTCCTGCTAAAACTTCCACTGAGTCTCCCACATCATCTCTCCAAAA